GGGACTTATATGGCCACGTAGCTACACTTGTACTGCGTTATGCGTGTGAGATGAGCTTGGGAAAGGGGCCACAGCCTCTTATTTTCTTTGGTAAGTCTGTATTTTATATGCTAGCTAGAATTTGGTGATGAGGATTCAATTCTCTTCTATCATGCATTTTCTGCATGGCTTTTACATTATGTAGGGCAGTTGGAATTTGTCAGGAACACTGCAGAATTTCCTCTAGGCTCCTTGGTTCTCAGTGATTTAATGAGCTGCACATCTGTCCCTTGGGAGAGCTCTGTACCCTAGTTCAGCATCTGTAAAATGGGGCTAATAGCTCTGCCATAGTGCAGAGGAGTGTTGTGAGAATTAATTCTTTAAAGACTGTGATAGTGGTATGTACACCAATCTCAAAGATAAGAGAAGGCGGGATCACAAGCTTGTATTGCAGTGTACTTCAAGGCTGGAGAAATATTTTGATGTTAAATTGAGAAAGGAATTTTGCCTTACGCCCTCTGCTAAATATGGTGAGGATTATTTGAACAATCCCTTGTGTGCTCGTAGTGTTACATGCGAGTCATGGTAGCATTACAGAATTTGCATGCAACTTCCATTCATAGAAGCACTGAGTAAATCCTTACTTGTATTTTTAATAGAAAGGCAATTCAGTATGTGTATTTTGATGCCTTTCCTATTTTGCAGTGTTCAAAGTGGTATCTTTCATTGATAGATTCACTACTGACTTAACATGAAAATATTCTTATTAGACCTGATTTGAAAGTTATTTAAATCTTGTTATTGCAATATCTTTAAAGATTTTTATTGACACATATCTGCTTTTGCCTTGATGATTAAGTTTCTTCATTGGCCTGATGTGGTATGCTGTTCTAGGATAGTCTAGGGTTTTCTACGTTGGTATTATGACAATTGAAATAATAGTAATGAAGAAACATTTTAAAATAAACAAAACTAGTCATTAAAGAGATTTCCATATAACAAGTAAATTAAGTACATTAATGTAATGAATAAATTAAATCTAATTATGGACAAATCTGCATGTGGTTATGTAGCATACATAGCGGGATAAAGTTAAGCCATAAGTATGCTACAATTTCATGTGGGTTATATAACTGTGTGTAGACCTTCTGAGTAGTATGGGGCAGACATGCAATGACTGACAAAGCTGGATTTGGTACAAAGAGTGAAGGAAGCACTGCCTCTTTGGAACAGAGTTTTGTATTTGTACAATCTCCACAGCTGTAAAACCTTGACCCCTGACTACGTTTCCTGGATGTTATGGTATTCCATATAGTAAATAATCTTTTTAGAATTACTCAGGACCTACCTCAAGGGATCTTAGTAAATTTAGTTTAGAAGTGGCTTTGGCAGATGCATTCCAGAAAACCAAGGTACAAGACTCCAGTAAGTGGCTTCTTAATTGCTGGCTACACATTCTGCCAGTAAGGCTGGAATTTGACTCCAGATTCTACAAATGAAGTAGGGTTTCAAAATTATGTCTACATGTGAACTAGAGGTGGGATTCAATCTGGAACTAAAACACCTATGCTTTCATCTCTGTATATAAGAACCTCTGTCTGATTTGGATATCTAATCTCCAGTCACGCTCAGGAGAGATGTAGGATTCACTTCAGTTACCTAAAACTAGGCATCTAGTATCATTCGAGGTGACATAAAGGTGTGTCTGACATGCACATGGAGGTTCTCAGGTATGATATAGGTCCATACGTAGGGGAGACCTGCACTCTTCTGAATGGTGGTGGGAGGCCAGGTAAGATGCCCCAGGGAATCTCCAGTGATGGTAGATACTTGCGTTAAGGCAGGTGAACCAATAGCAAGGTAACTGGGGTGAGGTGAATTGTTCTCTGGACTCTATTGGTTGCATTGACTAGATCTCAGTTGACTGTAATGTGAGCTTAAATACCTAGTTTAGATGTAAATATCTATACTGTAAATTTAGTTATCTAAATCTGGAACTGATTTTAATCCTAACTGTAGAAACAAATCAAATTTTCTACACTTTTTGTGCAAACTGTACTTTAGAGAAACACAGGCAGAGGGATGCAATCAACACAAACTGATTTACTACATCTCTCTTAGCATATATTAATGAATAGTTAGCATACTTTAACAACATAACATTTTACAGGACCCAGAAAAGGTGCAAAAGGCTCCTCTAGTTACCTACAAAAACTCAGATACTAGATTTCTGTGTAATTATGTAGAAAAATTATTGGCACATGTTAACAGATAGACCTTGTTAACTCCAAACAATATAGCAGAAGTTTTACGCTGTAGAGTTCTGTAGGCTATGTGAGGTTCTGTACATAATCCTTAGGGTTGGAAAGACATATTAAACTGAGATATGTTTCTCTGAATTAATAATAATGTCAAAGCCTAAAATAATATAGCAAGTATTTGGTATCACCCAGGCCACCAGATGATTGAACAAACAGAAAACATGTTTCTAGCTTCTATAATCATCTCTGAAAATTATTCTAGACTTTCTTTATATCACTTTATGCACTTTATATCAGAGCAAATTATAGCTATTTATTGACAGACACATTTTTAGAATCTGTGAGTATTCGTAAACTCAACTGATCTGTAAAAGAGCTTCAGAATAGTTTGGGGTTATTTTGGTTTGTTTCCCCCTTCACCTACCTTCCCCCAAGACCTTGCAGTTGGTTTTTGTGAAACATTTCACAGACGTTAGAGTAGCTCGTAATAGTACACTGAGGTAAAGTGGAACAGCTGATCAGCCTTAAGTTAGTAAAAGGCCGTGTGATGTATCAGATGCTGCTATTATGGCCCCAGGAAAGGGGCACACGGTTGAAGCAGTGACTGGAGACCCGACTGGAAAAAGGGCAGAGCAGTTGCTTTTGAAGCCGCTTGGGAATACAGAGCTGGACCATCCCAGTTGCCCTTTTAGCTAGAAACTGTCTCAGTTTAAAAATAACCAGAGATCCCACACTTCATGTTACTTGAAGTGTCACCTTTTCAACTCAGAAGCTGAAGTTCTGCGAAACCACAAAGACACCACTGCTTGGGAGAAGGCCAGAAACATGTTTCTAAATGACCAGAGATCTTTTCCAGTTTTAGAAATAATTAAGTCATTGATTAATTTGTTGTCCAGCAAAAGTGTGGAGTTTAGCTTTAATTAATACACATGAATATTTCTGTTCTGATCAGAGAGTTGTTTTGGCTCAGTTCCCAAACAATGACTTTTAACCAGACTGTTTGATGTTGGAGTCTATCCCTGTTCATTGAACTCTTCCATGAAATTACTAGCCCTAGGAGTCAGCCTTTCAAAGCAGAATCTGGTTTTAATTATTAAAGAAAGTAAATCCCCTCAATAGACCATAGATAAATTCTGGATGAATGTCTAAATTTACCCTTTGCAAATTTTCTCAATTTTAACAGGACACAGTTAATTCACATGGTGCCCAACACAAATTTAACAATAAACATTATACAGACCTAAGTCTATTTAATTTGTTGTCTGACATTCCAATAGAAAGAGCGAATGTTTACTGAAAATGGTTTGGTTCTGTATTTATAATACGAACATTGCAGGACTCATAACCTAAAAATTAAATAGATAACAAACAAAATTGAAAATTACTCCACTGAGATAGATTGTATTTTAACAGGTGGTTCTGTGTAAGGTCTGGTGAATAGCTTCATGTCCAAGGAAGATCTTATTGCTCCCAGGGAAATAATTTGGTCTTGACACTAATAAGTAGCAAATTCTTGACCTTTACAAATATTCTGACCTGTTAAGCCTGACATGCTAAAACAAGAAAAGTTAAACACCTTTTACTCTCTTTTTCTATTTACTTTTCCCAGCATTAGTTATCTAAAACAGCAGTTCCTGAGATGTTTTTCACTGTCGTGAAGTAAGTATATAGACAGCTATACACCTGGATGCAAGGCCTCCTCTATACTGGAGGAGACAGTAAATGTTTCAGGTCATTGATCTTGAAGCAACAAGGAGCCTTGTGGGGTTAGGATATTCTCAGAATGGAGCCAGATGTGTGCTGCAACAAACTATTTAGCGTGACATTGCAAACCGTCAGTGCTCTGTGGCTTATAGTCCATGACACTGAGTGCTAAGGTTATGTCTATATTAATAAATTGTGCAGTGCAATGGGAGCAGATCTGTGTAGTGAACAAGTTGTTGCTGACCTGATGATCACACTATATAAATTTCACTGTTTTTAATTTGGGCTAGCTTTAGTGTGGTCCGGTGGTCAGAAGGCGATAAGGAGTTAGAACACATTTTGTACAATCCTGGAATGTACCTTATGGTGTAGATCAACGCAAAAGCAAGGAGGTTCTCATGCTCTGAAGCTGCTCTGCAATCCAAAGCAGAGCCATTAAGTGGGGTCAGTTCTGAGGTTCACTTCAAAAGTAAATGTTTGATACAAACCAGTATCAAGTTTTTCACTATTCCATGAAAACTCATGAAGGTTTGATTTTCATGTATGTTTTTTAAGCTGACACTTTCCCCCTAAGCTTTTAGATATTTCAGTCTTTGAATATTTAAGGCAGCCCTTCATAAATTGAATAAACAGCAGAGGGTTGCTTTCGAGTGATGAGTGCTTGGTCTTATTTTGTAAATTTCAATATACAGGCATCAGCGGTCTAATTGTTTTGCAAGATGTACCCAGCAATGCAGCTGGTGAAGAGCTCCCTTTCCTATCAAAAGATGATTGCAATTATTATATGCAAGGATGTAAAGCCCTATTTTATTTTGAATTAAATTGATTAGCATGAAGACATGCATTTTTTTCTAATAAAGATTATCCAAATTTTGGAAGGAAATTATCTCTACACACCACAGCTTGTCATATGAAATGATTTTTACTAATATAACCTTGTAGCCAAATAAAAACAGTAAAAAGAGAGAAATCCTAGGTAAATTTATTAAATGTAATGTAATGAAAATTGTATGAAAATTCTGTATTTTTCACTCCAAACTTCTATTTTTCTTGTAGCCCAAGCAGCGCACATCAATAGTATCTTCTCTGGAGTTCCACCGAATGAATCACAGCCACAATTATTTTGAAATCAACTCATCCATTGGCTGTACAAGTTTTATTTCTACACCTGCAATCAGTCCAGCTAATTATTCCTCCAGACCTCTGGAATACAGTGCTGAAGAGAGAGAACTTCCAGGTATAGAAAAAAAAACTTACTTTGCCTATCAACAAATCTTTATAAAACTGTAAGTCTGTGGGTTTAAGCTGGAGTTGCTGTTGTCTTTGGTAATGAAATACATTAATCATAAATACACAAAAGTATTTCTGATTTTTTTTCTGCTGCCCAGCAAAGGCTTTTCATATTTCATGACCAATATTATTAAAATATACTTTTTCCTGAATGTTATATTTTGAATAAAACAATCTTTGTTTTACAGAAATGTCTAGAATTTAGGTATTGTAGTTTCTGAAATTACTGTGATTGAGGTATGCATCTACTTTCATCATTGTGTGGTCAGTATACTCTAATATGAATTTTAAGTTTGAGAAATGTGATTAGAAATCATTACATAACCATCAGTAAAGATGAGGAAGGGAAGATTTCTAAGTAACCTGACATTCTTTTTGCAGTAGTAATGGGATTCATTAAAACAAAACTTTAATATATTTGTTCTGATGATAAGAATTGACTAGAGTAATAGTGTGATTGTAACTGTGAAGGTTTTAGCTATATACAGAGTTGTACATAATGAAAATGCTTTAAAAGGGATTAAAATATTTTCTTCTTCACAGAGTAAGAAAGTGTCAGTAAACCATGCATTTAGCTACTTCTGTCCCTCTAAATTTCATAGGTAAATTGCTTTACTTAGGCTAAACTTGTGTCAGAAGAGTATAGTATTTGGGAAAGCTGATGTATTGAAACAAATGTCTTTGATAGCTAGTTTATGTGATCTGCAGATGGAGTTATTTCTTTTAAACATATACTTTATTTAAGATATAAATAGGAGTAAATTACTGTAAAATAAAAAATGCAAATGTTGAAATTCAGTACAAACTTATCATTTGGCTTTTGTAGCATTGGTCTTCAAATTAGATGAAACCTCTATATTTCTGGTTGGTAAGACTTGAAAATTCTGAAAACTGTTGCTTTCAGATGATCAAAAAAAATAATTTCATAGTTAAATCAAAGGAAAACTATATTGTTAAAGAAATGTTGTGAAATAGCTAAAGAATGAGAAATCCTATCTGTTATGATGAAGAAAGAGTTTAGATGATCAGGAATTATTCAATTTTTTTTTTTTTTGGACTGACTGTGTCATTATCTTTGAAATTAAAAGAATGTCCTTATATTCATGGATATAGAAAATCTTTTCAAGCCTAACTGGAAATAATTAATATGAATGGTATCTTTTATTGCTAGGTCTGGTGTCATTTGATTCTTTAGGTTTTTGAGTGGTTTTGGTTGTTATTGTTTTTCCTACTATAAGTTCTCTTCAGTGATCATCATTTTATTCTGAGCAGTTGAATGATACTAAATAAATCTTGATCTTTAAAAGTAAAAACAAGAAAACAAAGAACATGCATTGGAGTTGGATAATTAATTTCTCCAGTTTTCTGCTGTTGCACAGTTCTGGTTAAGTTCTTCACAATATCTGGATTTGCTTTACTTTTATCTTCTTTGGTTAAATTTACAAGGGACTGCACTCTGTAACTTTTAATCACTGCATTTCATTTGGTCTGAAATTGGAACTATAATCTCATGCTTATTAGATCTGTACATTTCTAATTTGTGGATGATTTGATTTATGGATTGAGTGGAAGCTGAATTTCCTCTTGTCTCTGCCTAGAAAGCTAAGAAAAAAACAACAAAGGCAAAATGACTGGTTCTGAAGTTCTGGGAATCTCCTACAAATTTTTGAAGAGTACAGTTTACCATAAGTAAATCATTAATTTGCCATCAGTAAATGAAATAATTACATTAAAAGTGCAATTCCTCCCCCCCACCCCTCCTTCTCAGATGGTTTTTATCCTATAATTATTTAATATATAGGATCACAGATTAGACACAATTTTAGTCTGAATTAAAAAAAAAAAAAAAGTATTTTGCTCATTAAGGTCCTTTTGGCTCCTTAATTATAGATGATGCACTATAATTCTGCAAGGGACAAGGAGTACTAATGTGTAAAGAGAATAGCAACATCCAGAAAGAACAGATCAAAGCTGTCTCTCTGAAATGTCTCTCAGGCTTGTCTCTTACCTAGATTGTCAAAAGCTGAACCTTGAATAGAAATGGTCATCAAGGAGTAGCAGAAGTGTTCTGCTACAGCTTTTTTGTCTGCTTTAGTTAGTTGTAGTTTCAGTGAAAGGTTCATTGTTCCTTTTCCAGATCTACAGTGACAACAGTCTTACATGTCTTGATTATAATCCTAATTTCCAACTTGTTAGGAAAATTCATGGAAGATCTGCCCCTTACAAAAATGTTTATTCAGTAATAATTGAGGATTTGTGCACATTTGAGTGTTTCCTTCTATATTATGTTCTTGGGAATTTATGTGTCTCTTGTTCTTTTTTAAAAAGCAATAAATTATTTTACCATGCTTATTGAAGTCAAGGGTCTTCTGGCTGACCAGAAAGAAGCAATATACAGAAGGAACCCATTTTCATAGTACCTTTCTGTTGCCTTCTTTGAAACAATCAAAATGGTTTTTACAGAATTTCTAAATCAGGGTCTGCCATCTAAGTAGTCTATTCAATTTCAGTGCTTTTTATGTTTTCTTCAGGAAACTTGCAATGATTCATTATCATTCAGATGAGAGTGGGAGATGAATACAACAAAATAATTATTCTAGTTCTAAAATCTTCATCATTTTACCTCTACCTCAATATTCTGCTACTAAAGAAGAATTGATCTCTTGTAACTTTTGATGGATTAGAGAAAATTCCTTTTTATATTTGGGGATCTCAGTTTTACTCTTGGTGTTTGCTAATTCCCTACATCCCCTGATTTGAAACAGGGATCCTGATTTTCAAGAAGTGTATTTCTATCAAGTAGAAAACTACTGAGCTCTACCACAGCACTATATTATCCGACTGACAGCATATGACAACATTTTCTGATTAATTAGCTGGAGAACAGTCCACATATAATGGTAAGTACGTGCTTTAGCTTTGGGATCAGATGGCTTTATAGTGTAAACAAAACCGTGTATGCTGCCTGCATGGATGGCAGAAGATACCTTAATATCAGGTTGCCTGCAACTAAAATGTAAGAATAAAGATTCTATTACCTGTTTTGAACTTTAATTGGTGGAAGAACCTTCAACAAGTTGATGAAAATTCTTCTTTCACACCAGTATACGTAGGGCAGACTGTGAATGCAGCTTTGGCATGGCCTATTTTCACAGCTTTATTTGCAGCAAGAACATTGACTTCATTGAAGTGTTCTTGAATTCTGAGTGAATGATCATGCTTTTATAGCATTGCATTTCACCTTGAGTTGATACTCTGTGGATCTAAATAATGTCAGCTACTACCATTAAACTTTCTATGCTAAAAGTGAGTCTACTCCATTGCACCAGGAAGTGATTACTGGGTGTAACTGTCATGGCAAGATACCAGTCATTTTCTTGATCATCTGAGTACATACATAGTAAGTGTTTAGTATGGCAGTACAAATGAAAAATTAAAGACCTGATGATCAGGTGAGGGTTTCATTTGTGAGATGTTCCTCATATAACTTTGCCTATAAACCGCTAGATGTGCAATATCATTCACTCCAGAGGAGGACAGTCTGGGCTTTCAGGGAGAGGCATCTCTAGTAGCGTAGGTCTATGTCTTGTTTTTTACATCCCTGAAGTTCCTTTGAAACTGTAAATCTTAAGGATTGAAGGCAACAGAATTATCACCATCTTGGTAATGTCAGCTTGGCACAATCAACAGTTGCACCTGAAATTGTCACTCTGATTTATTTTAGTTTTCATTTGTGCTTGATCAGTCAGAATAATGAATCTTTCTCTAACCCATATTAACTTCATTATGTCTTCTTGTACTGAGTAAAATTGGGCTGTGAAATTAAAAAGACAGTTCCAAAGATATTCTTGTTCTGTTTCAGATCAGAAAATAGATCTCTCCTGAAATGCATATATGCAGCAAAAATGTCAGCAGTTGTTTCTAGGTAATCTCATTGAAATCTGTATTTTCAGTCCATGAAAATCTTTATATTTTCAGTAAATTCTGTATACCATTCATCGGTAAAAGAGCATACAGTTTATCCTCTCATCTTGTTGTGCTACCTAATGGTATTTACTAGGTTTATCTCTTAGTTACAAAGTCTGTCTCCACTGTAGGACCTTAATATAGATCTCATTCTTTTTACATGTCTCATTTTCTGACTATGAATAATGTTATTTCCTTCATCTAAAAATGTTACATTGTTCCTTAGAACAACCCGGGATATACAATTTAAGGATTCAGCCTTTAATATGTGGACTATAATTTTTTCTCTTCTACAACAAAAAAGTAATATTTGAGTCACACCTTAGGTTTCTTCTGCAAGTGTCTTCAGATATTTCTTTAAAGTAAATATCTGATTAAATTGTTCTGTCTCACAAGCCTGATTTTTCTGAAGCAAAACCAGCCCTACACTTAAAGATAAACTTGCAGTTTTATCCTTCTCTTTTGAGAGAACCCAGATATTCAGCATATTACTGTGGCTGTTAGAAAGTATTAGAAACTTGGTTCAGAGGTGTGGTCTAAAATTCCTGGCTACGTTGTATTCCTAGATACAGTCAAAATTTCTTCTGCTGAAAGAATGTTCATTTATGTGACATTAGCAAAGCTGCTATTTGAAGTAGGGCACATATTTGTCAACATTACTTTCTTATTCAAATATCTCATTTATTAAGATCTGATATGAAAAGATCAAACTGTGATGTTTGCGTAGCCTCTTCAAGCCTTGTTTCTTCAATTATAAAAAGGTTGGGGGTTACTAGAAGTGAAATACAAAGTTAAAGGAATGCAAAGAAAAAACAAAATGCCTTTTGTTGCTATAGGGTATATTAGAGATGATATGTATAAGTTCATGGAACGCTGTCTGTTAGCAATACCTTACTAATTGCCAAAAGAACACATGGTTTTCTAGTAACACACAAAGGGAAAAATATTGGCATGTAAAGAAATAAACATAATCAGCAAATG